CGGTCAGTAAAGTAAGCTTGTTTTTTATTCTTTTGGCAATCTAGACTAGATGGGATGGAAGCTAGGGCAGTTGCATGCTCCTCTTGTAGGATGTGGGAGGTAAGGGTCATTACTAGTGTCCCTTCTGACTTCACCTGCGAGAAGTGCACCCAACTCCAGCTCCTCACAGACCGCGTTAGGGAACTGGAGCTGGATGAACTCCAGATCATTGGGGAGGCTGAGGGAGTGATAGATATGAATTATGGGGAGGTTGTCACACCCAAGTTACAGGAGAAAGGAACAAAAACGAAGTTGCTGGAAAAGCTCAGCAGATCTGGCAGCATCTGTGGAGGAGAAAACAGAGTTAACGTTTCGAGTCCGGTGACCCTTCTTAAAGGAACTTGGGTGGCCGTCAGGAGAGGGAAAGGGAATAGGTGGACAGTGCAGGGATATCCTGTGGCCGTTTCCCTCAATAATAAGTATACGACTTTGGATACTATTGGTGGGTGGTGGGGGGGGGGCGCGGTGCGACCTACCAGGGGAAAGCCATAGTGGCCAGGTCTCTGGCACTGAGCCTGGCTCTGTGGCCCAGAAGGGAAGGGGGGAGAATAGGAGAGTGATAGTGATAGGAGATTCAATGGTTAGGGGAACAGACAGGAGATTCTGTGGTCCCAAGCGAGACCCCCGGATGGTATATTGCCTCCCGGGTGCCAGGTTCAGGGATGTCTCTGATCGAGTCTGCAGGATTCTTAAGGGGGAGGGTGAGCAGCAGGAAGTCATGGTACACATCGGTACCAATGACATAGCTAGGAAAAGGGGTGAGGACCTGAAAAGTGAAGAGAGGGAGTTAGGTTGGAAGCTAAAAGCCAGGACGAGCAGAGTAGTAATGTCAGGATTAATCTCAGAGCTGGTGTAGGAGGGAGGGCTTCAGATATGTGGATCATTTGGATAACTGGGGAGGGTGGGACCTGTACAAGAAGGATGGGTTGCACCTGAACTGGAGGGGCACCAACATCCTGGGCGGGAGGTTTATGAGGGCTCTTCGGGAGGGTTTAAACTAGTTTGGCAGGGGGATGGAAGCCAGAGCTACAGATCAGAGAATGGGGTAGCTGGTGCACAGGCAGATATAGCATGCAAGAGAGTCTGTGAGAAAGGGTTGATAGTTGATAGGGCATAGTTGCAGTCAGTGCGATGGGTTGAAGTGTTACTATTTTAATGCAAGAACTGTCAGGAACAAGGGTGATGAACTTGGAGCATTAATCAGTACTTGGAACTATGATGTTGTGGCCATTATGGAGACTTGGATAACACAGGGGCAGGAATGATTGTTGGATATTCTGGGGTTTAGATGTTTCAAAAGAAATAGGGATGGAGGTAAAAGAGGTAGAGGAGTGGCATTCCTAATTAGAGATGGTATCACAGCTGCAGAAAGGGAGGTCATCGAGGAGGGTTTTCTACTGAGTCAGTATGGGTGGAAGTCAGAAACAGGAAAGGAGCAGTCATTTTATTAAGAGTTTTCTATAGACTCCCGAACAGCAACAGAGACACTGAGGAACAGATTGGGAGGCAGATTTTGGAAAGTGTAGAAGTAATAGGGTTGTTGTCATGGGTGACTTCAACTTCCCTAATATCGACTGGAACCTCCTAAGTGCAAATAGTTTGAATGGAGCAGATTTTGTCAGGTGTGTCCAGGAAGGATTTCTGACTCAATAGAGGGGAGGCCACATTGGATTTGGTGCTTGGCAACAAACTAGGCCAGGTATCAGATCTGTCGGTGAGAGAGCATTTCAGTGACAGTGATCACAACTCCCTGACCTTTACTATAGTCATGGAGAGGGATAGGAGCAGACGGTATGGGAAAGTATTTATTTGTGGGAGGGGAAATTACAATGCATTAGGCAAGAACTGCAGAGCATAAATTGGGAACAGATGTTTTCAGGGAATTGCACGAAAGAAATGTGGAAGTTGTTTAGGGACCACTTGCTATGACTACTGGATAGGTTTGTCCCACTGCGGCAAGGAAGGGATGGTAAGGTGAAGGAACCTTGGATGACAAAACATGTGGAACACCAAGTTAAGAGGAAGAAGGTTGAGGAATCAAGGATCGGACAGTGCTTCAGAGGGCTACAAGATCGCTAGGAAGGAACTAGAGAATGGACTTAGGAGACCTAGAAGGGGGTACGTAAAAGCCTTGCCAGGTAGGATTAAAGAAAACCCCAAGGTGTTCTATACTTATGTGACGAACAAGAAGATGGCCAGAGTGAGGGTAGGGCTGATCAGGGATAGTGGAGGGAACTTGTACACTGAGTCAGAGGAGGTAGTGGAGATCTTTAATGAATACTTTGCTTTAGTATTCACCAGTGAGAGGGACCTTGTCTTTTGTGAACACGGTGTGAAACAGGCAGATATGCTCAAACAGTTGATGTTAGGAAGGAGGGTGTGCTAGAAATTTTGAAAAACATGAGGCCAGATGGGATATACCCAAAGTTTCTTTGGTGATGATCTTTGCCTCCTCACTGTCCACAGGAGTAGTACCAGATGACTGGAGGGTGGCAAATGTTATTCCCTTGTTCAAGAAAGGGAATAGGAATAATCCTGGGAGTTACAGACCAGTCAGTCTTACTTCTGTGATGGGCAAATTATTGGAGAGGTTCCCAGATATGGTATTTATGATTATTTGGAAAAGCACAGCTTGATTAGAAATAGTCAGCATGGCTTTGGGAGGGGCAGGTCATGCTCACAAGCGTCATTGAATTCTTTGAAGATGTGACAAAACACATCGATGAGGGTGGAGCAGTGGATGTGCTGTATATGGATTTTAGCAAGGCATTTGATAAGGTTCCACATGGTAGGCTCATTCAGAAAGTAAGGAGGCATGGGATTCAGGGAAATTTGTCTGCCTGGATACAGAATTAGCTGTCCAATAGAGGGTGGTAGTAGATGGAAAGTATTCAGCCTGGAGCTCGGTGACCAGTGGTGTTCGGCAGGGATCGTTTCTGGTACCCCTGCTCTTTGTGATCTTTATAAATGACCTGGATGAGGAAGTGAAAGGGTGGCACAGTAAGTTGTCGATGACACAAAGGTTGGTGGAGTTGTGGATAGTGTGGAGAGCTGTTACAGGTTGCAACGGACATTGACAGGATGCAGAGCTGGGCAAAGAAATGGCAGATGGAATTCAACCTGGAAAAGTGTGAAGTGATTCATTTTGGAAGGTCGAATTTGAATGCAGAATACAGGGTTAATGGCAGGATTTTTGGCAGTGTGGAGGAACAGAGGGATCTTGGGGTCCATGTCCACAGATTCCTCAAAGTTGCTATCCAAGTTGATAGGGTTGTAAAGAAGGCATATGGTGTGTTGGCTTTCATCGGCAGGGGAATTGAGTTTAAGAGCTGTGAGAGTATGCTGCAGCTCTATAAAACCCTGGTTAGACCACACTTGGAATATTGTGTTCAGTTCTGGTCAGCTCATTATAGGAAAGATGTGGAAACTTTAGAGAGGGTGCAGAGGTGATTTACCAGGGTGCTGCCTGGACTGGAGGGTAGGTCTTATGAGGAAAGGTTAACGGAGCTGGGGCTTTTCTCATTGGAATGAAGAAGGATGAGAGGTGACTTGATAGAGGTGTACAAGATGTTGAGAGGCATAGATAGAGTGCATAGTCAGAGACTTTCTCCCAGGGCGGAAATGACTATTACGAGGGGGCATAACTTTAAGGTGATTGGAGGAAGGTATGGGGGAGGTGTCAGAGGTAGGTTCTTTACACACAGAGTGGTGGGCATGTGGAATGTGCTGCTGGCAGTGGTAGTGGAGTCAG